TTGTCACATTTTTGACTGCCTATGTTCATTTTGTAAATTGCGGAAAACTTGGGCAGCCACATCGCGCGGTTTAATTGCAGGAAGCTACATGGGCAGAAGTTCGAGGCCCAGAACCGTCCAGATACGAAATACGCACATAGTGGCCAACATCTCCTATCATAGTCACCGACGCCAGTTGCGGACGAAGTTGCCCGGTATTGCGGTCAATAATGTCGTATACTTCAGGCGGCCTAGCAGATATAAGACAGTAGAAATTCAATCTTAGATATAAACCCATACCAGATGTCTTGCTTTGTGGCCGCGATAATGTGTGTGGGCAGAACATCAAGGATTGTGCGCAAAAAGGGGACCGCGTCAAGTTGTGTGCCGTTGTCGACGAAGCATGCTGTTTCTTGTTCGACAGTGGTTTTTGTTGTGATGTATCCAGGCCTTTCGGGATCTGGAATAAAATAGGTGTCCTATTGCATGGTATTAGAGCCATTGGGGTGACGTGTTTGTATCGATCGCACTTGCCTCGATGATTCGCAAAACATCGGGAGAGAAAGATTTCCAGGGCAAGTGCGTTGCGAACCACTCCATTGCAGCTTTCTTCGACGGCCAACTTGATACACGCCGCGCATTGGACTTCTTGACCCGAGGATAGAGGACCGTCGTGAAGAACGGCCACACCTCACGCGCAACAAGGGGTGCTTCAACGAGGTTGAGCGATTTCAAAGGGATTGGATGGCCATCGCGTAGGCCATACTCCATCGCTAGAATCCTGACAGGTCCAAAAACATGTCTAGAAACTGCCAGACAGAAATTTGCCCTGACTCACAGTGAACTGCCGCCTCCCGAATATCCAATTCCAACGACGTTGTTACGTTCGGAGGTGGAGAGAAAATCAGAAGTGAGGAATTCGTGGATTGCGGTCGCATATTGGAGACTTGGGACTAGGCGAGAGGTTGAATTGAATTCATCTCTCAGAGAAATGTTGACTCACATTGAACTGAGTAATGTTTCTTCAACATCTCAGCATTGATGAGAGCCGGTTCGCCGTGATTAGGACGTTCGATTACCCAGGCCGAACGAACCTTGACAACTTGGGAGGAGGATACGGCAGAAAGAGCAAACAGCTCTTTGATGATTGGTACCCACGTCTCCTGCGCTGTAATTCGTTTTGAGCACATGAGATACGACTCGAGATTCAGGACGCGACATACAAAGAGCTATGCCGCCTGCGATTACCAGGCAAACAGAAGCATAGGTGTTAGATGCACAACTGGAGTCGCTGCTGTTGTCCATCGCATAGCGCGTCGCAATGCATTCCAGCGGGCAGTACGAAAACTGAACAGAACTTGATTTCAGAGGATGCAGGAGCGCTAGAGACAGCATCGCGGGCGCGATCCAAAGAACCCGGCTCGCAAGAGACCTTCGGGGACGAGCTCAAGCACAGAACTCCGTCGTGGCACCCAAGATCGTGTGTGGGTGCTTGTTTCATGATCGCCGTTTGTCCGCGCCCCCACGGCGAAGTGTCATGTCGAATTCAAGATGGATCGCCCTTTGAATCTGTTGAAACCAAAAATATATATAGTGCGTCGCAGGAGCTGGGCGAAGCCATTCGAAGTCAAAGATTTTCTCAAGCACGTACAAAAATTACAATTGTCACCGTGCTAATCATAGCGCTCAGAACATGGACAACGCCTCGAAATCAAAGGCAGTCCCAGCATCTGTATTGATCTCACCTGCAGGAGACTTTGTGAGGACGCAAGTGAGCTCTTGACCCAGCTCCACCTCCCCCCCCCATTAGCGACGCGCCAAAGCATGGGACACGCCGCCATTATCACTGACCCAAAATCTTCCAGGTCCGCCGCATCGTCCAAGGTAGCTAGTAGCAGAAGTTTCGTGCTGGAAGCCGGCAACATTCCGGACTTGGAGTATCAATGTTTCGAGTCTGCGGAATTGTCGCAGTGCTGGGATGGGACTCGTTTCTGTGATGTTGGCCGCGTTCTAGGACGAGGAAGTAAATCAGCTTGGACAACGACGCAGCACAGGCGCGGCTATTTGTACCCTTTTTCTCATCTCGGTGATGCCTAAATGCACCAAAGCAGGCAGGGAGGCCGCGATAGATGTGAGAATAACCGAGGCACGATACTATTCCCAGTCTTTTGTGGAATGTCGTCGGAGATTCAAGGTTGTCAGGGTCCGATCGTACTTCCTCAGCTGTACAGTAAAGGGATGGAAGCCCGTGTCGAGCCGTTGCAGCGGACGCGCGGGGAGACCGGCTAGGTTGAGAGTCCGGACAGCGATAACGTTTGGAAGGAGCTCAGTGCCGGGAGACATAGGGTATCCTGCATGCGGCAATACAAGGACACGAATCTCCGTCTGAGCCTTCAAAAAATCCGTAAACCCGACGTCTCTGGTCGTAAAATACTCATTGTGGAATTTGGTAAGGCGAAAGGGGCACCCGTTGACGATCCAACCAAGGCAGTTATCCTCCCCAGTATGCGAAACGACTTTGAGTTCCTTCAGATTGACGCAGCAGCAGAGGGCGCGCCTGATCTGCGTGCATCCTCAGCGTCGAATATGAGGGCGTCCGGGAGACACAGGGCGAGCGTGTTCACACGTTGGGCGCAGTTGGGGAGCCGTGTGACGGTGTGAGCCCACTTTACAGCGTGTATGGTGCCGCAGCTGAGATCGACCGAGTGGTAGAGGATGCGCTCCGCTCGACATCGAAAGACAGGGGAGGTTCGACAGAGGAACGCCAGGCTGCGCGAGTCTTGCAGCTCATCGACTATGATTTCACAGATTTCAGTGGGAAGTCTAGAGGCCATGCCGGCGGGCGAGAACGAAAAGGTGGTTTCGAAGGGGAGGGCAGCAGGCGATCAGCAGTTGATGGCAAAAGACAACGTCGTGCCCGCGCTTGTTCAACTTTTTGAGTGCTTTCACCGGCTTTCACTTGGCTTTCACTGTGTCGGTGTGATTCTTAACGCCTCCAAATATGCCGCAAAGCGACCGCTGCTCTGAAATCTCAAGATGCTGACGGTGTCATAGCCTCTGCCTCTGGGACTCGTCTCATACTACTTATCGGGTACTTGCCACCGGCATTGCCAGGCCCGCTGCCCGGGAGGCTCCTGTAAAGGTCCGGAAAACCCAACAAATTCAGCTTCAAACGGCCACTCGTTTTCGTCAATTCGGGCCTCAAAAGGGCACCTTCGGACGAGCCCAAGTGTTGACAATTTTTTTCGCGCGGCGCGGTTGTCGAAGTAGCTTTTTCATCCTCCCCAGCGACCTGGGCCCTTCACTGCAATGTCTGTTTGGCAAGCGTCGTCAGAATTGTCAAACACACGGCAGAAAGAGCAGGGCCGAAGCGAAATTTAGAGATTCAGGCTCGAATAGCCACTTTTTTTGGACAAGGTCGCCGGATTTTGTTACCTTCTGAACGAAGAAACCCGGGCAGATCACACAATTTGTGCCTGACAAGGCCAAGAAATTTCCGGTCCAAGCTTTGCATGCGGAGTCTCCCGGGGCAGTGCTCATACAACTTTGATGCGGCTCCAGCCCCAATCCGCAACGGAGATTTTTCAAAATTTGAGGGCGGTCCTCGGTAATTCAACAGACAGGCCTATATTTCTGAACAGAGCCCAATTGAATTTCCAATTAATTAGGCAAGATAACCGCACATGATGGTAAGATTGACGTACGTACGAAGTCCTTCCTTCTTCTCCTCCACGACTCAGGCTCTTACTATGTATGCTGCCGGTAAGCTTTTCCTGCACCGCATAAGCACCACTAAAGCAGCTTCGCAGATTTGTCCTGGGACCATCGTAGTCGCCACACTGGTTCGGAGCTAAGCGCAACAGAGTCTACTAGTGCAATACTACGCGCCCAAGCAGCCGGATTCGACCCGAGAGCAGTAGTGAGACGCCTGGAACGGGAGAAAATCACCAGTCGGGCGCGAGCCGATGCGAAGAGTGCCGAGCTGAAGAACGACGGCAACGCAGCGTTCATGAAAGGCGATCTGAAGACGGCATACGTGCTCTACACGGCGTGCATGCATCTCTCTATTCGCGAGACGTTGTATCCGCTGAACAGGGCCGCGGTTGCGTTGAGTGTGTCTTATCCTTATCATTCAATTTAAGCTCGGATTGACCGCTACCTCAAGAATTGAAGCTCTACGATAAAGCACTCGAAGATGCGAACAGCGTGGTCGAGGAAGAGGAGTACAACATGCGTTCTCTTGATCTCCGTGAGTTAAACATCAAGTATGATTGTCACCAACTGAGCACGGGAGCCAGAGACGAAATTGTGGATCGTCGAAAACGCGTCGGAGATAACGGCCAAGGCCAAGCTTCACCGTATCAAAGGTCATTTTCGCCGTGGGCAAGCCTGGCGCTCTCGGGGAGAGTGGGACAAGGCCGGCGAAGACTACGGAAAAGCCTTGGAACTCAAGCCCGGCGATTGTACCATTCTGCGCGAGATGGAGCAACTGGAAGGATTGCGCGGGTTGTCGGCAGAAGAGCAGGCGGCTTGGGTTGCGGAGCAGGGGAAGGTAATGTTGCTGGACGTATTCGATCCCGAAGACTTGAAAAAGCGTGTTGAAGAGTTGATAGGTCGCAGTCTGATGTATGTCTACTAGACGCTTGGAGGTGTACTTCTTGATGCTATGCCAGCTTATTTCTTGATGTTTTAGTTGCGACGACGGATCCTCGTGTCGAAGGGCAGCCAACCTTCGAGCAAAATGGCATCGACGGCGGTGATGTGTTCGAGTCAACGATGTACTGAGGATGACAAAGAGCTCGACACTGGCTTATGCGTCTCGGAATTGCAAGCCAAGAGTTTGAATAGTCGTCGATATGTTGGTTGGGCACAACAAATCCTGAAAATAGACCTACACCGGGCGACGGCCTGTCATTGGCGATGGAAGATGCCACTAAGATGGATTGGATGTCGTTCGCTGTTGAGTGGTGGAGATAACGACGCAAGAAAAAGGTGCAGCAGAAGGCTGCAGAAGCCAAAAATGTCCAGGGCCAGAATCGAACTGACGTCAATCGCGAATTGGTTATGTTCCAAAGTGAAACAACCACAAGCGAGCATACTAACCACTATACTACCTAGACCGCTTGTTTGTTGAAGGCTGCAAATGTGTGGTCTCATTACGCCATTCCAAATTTCCAATCGGACAAAAGGTTGATAACTTGAATTCAACAGATCCAAAAACTACAGTGGTCGCGGCTATGTGCAATGAGATGGTGGGTTGGTCCCAAGTTGGCCGGGGGGATGGAGGAGAAGGAGAGGATCGCGATGGGGTAGTGATTGGAGTCTTCAAATGTGTACAAAAACTATGCGGGTTGTTGTACGGTTAATATACATGGAATGTGTGTAACATACAGACGACCAACAGGCTCGCGAATGAATATAGAGACTAGGCGGGCGACGGCGAGGGATCACGATTACTCATACTTGAGCATCGTGGTCGGAGTCGTTGCTAACTGAAAAAGGGAGCCTGTACATGAATCATGATCAGAGTCACGGATGGGGGTGGTATTCGCAGCGGTGTGCACCTGTTCGCAAACAGTCTGAAAGACGTGATGCAGTCTCGAATCCGAGGAAGAAAGTAACTGGTGAGTAGCTGAAAGAGGAAGGGTTGCGCTCCAATGATGAATATCGTTGAACTGTCATCTAGTTTCGAGATTGAGTCGCAGAATGCAGAGAAAACCTGTATCGTAGAGTCCATTGCAGCCAAAGCGAATGTGAATGACTCTGTTGCTTCAATCACAAGATCTCGAGTCTGTGGATGCAGCATTGATACCGTGAAGGGCTTCAAGCACGAGCCAATATAGGCACGCATATGAGACACACCAAATATTTCGGATCGAGTTTTTGGGCATAAAGTTCAGCGTGCTTCAAGACGGTTTCCAGCTGATCAGCATATTCGAAAAGTCCGGCGAGGTGTCGGAAATACGGCTCTGCCTGCCTCATTCGCATCGCGTTCCCGAGAGGCCTACGCTCATCAACGATATATACACGTGCACGAGGAGGTTTACTCACGAGCGAGTTTCACATAGCTGAACGAAGTTTAAGCACTTGGAATTTATCCTGTAGCATGCGCTCAGCATATCTAATCATACTTACGGTGGGAACTGCTTACCGCACATGACAGGAAGTACTGCGTGATCTTGTTTCCCCCGTGCAATACACGCATCTATCAAATTCCAAACTAAGGTGTTGGACTGGCACCATTTCCAGTAGAGTCCCTGCGCAAACCACCTCGGAAAAACCATCTGGGTCGAAAGTACAGCCATCCAATGTGATTATCCAGTAGTGGGCGGTAGGTGTGTATCGGTCAGCCATGTATGTCCCAATAATTCTACTCAAATCCTTACGAAAACAGACGGCATGAGAAATCAGTGTCATAAGAGTTCAGTATAGACTTACTTCGTAAGTGCCACAATACACGACAGGGATCGGTATGGATACTCCGGCTGGGGAAATGACGACAAAGGTCTCTTCAGAGACCCCGTGCGGAACATGGCGTATGACCGCCACGATTTGCTGATGATACGTTGCGAGCTGTTGTGCGAGACCGCTCACACCCTCTTGCACCACGTCTCGGATCTGAGTGGTTCCTTCGGCGACTTGGTCGACACGGTCCTTGGTGGCCGCGGCTCCTTGGGCGACTTGGTCGACGCGGTCTTTCACTGCCAAAAGTGCTCCCCTATACACCAGTGAATCAATATCCGAACAGTATCGGATAAGAAACATACGAGTTCAGCATGCCCACAAGTACCCCTAGAGCTATTCGGCGCTCAATAACACGCATCCTAAAGGCCGCTAGCTCTTTCTCCTCCGAGACCGCCCACAGTAGCTTGTGTATCAGCCCACTGGACGCGCTGATCTTCTGGAAGAACCTCAGTATCGTCAAGTGGCAACGCTGGACTTCCTCCTGGATACGCGTGGAGACAGACAGCGCGAGAGGAGACGACTGGATGCCTTCGTCGACAGGGATGAGCGTCAGATTCGCGAGATCGGTCCACAGTGCTTTGAGCTCTCTTTCTGTCTCGTCCCGCTCAGACGAATGCCTGCCATTCTTGAGTACCAATATGACCTTGATGAGGAGCTGCGCGGTGGCTAGAATGTCACCGAAGGAGCCAAAAGCGAAGGCCGCGACAGGCATGAGCGAAGGCGTTGATGTTAGTAGGAAGAAAGAGGGCGCGCCGAAGGGTTCACCGACGGATCAGCTGGGTGCACTTAACCGTTATGTCTCACAGCCACTGATGGCACATAACTGTGCACCAGTACAATGGTCGGAAAACCCGCCGAAGCAGACGACAGGCAGAAACAGCTGTGCAAAGCAGTACAGCACGAAGGCCTACCAATGGAGTTTGACCCTGGCGTATATGATGCAAGAAGTCGCTGTGGAAAAATTAAACTTTGATCATCGAAAGTAGGGAATGGATTTCCGCGGAAGGGGGCACGAGTAAGACCACATGTGATTCGAAACACAGCTATATGAGACGCCGGAAGGCAACGCGTTAGTGGCAAGCTCCATGAGGCGTCCTCAAAGAGTCGTTTGAATTTTGCACGGAAACAAGGTGGAACGATCAAAGAACAAACAAACAACCGCCGGATGCCTAATTTGGCAATTGCATTCATGCGGCGCGCATGCGCGATTCCTCTGTACGCAACTGTATGCAGCACGAACATAATTAGCGGTAAATAACAACAGGGACGACGCTACATGGACAGCAAAGGGAGTACGTATACTTACTACAAACAACATTCTAGGTCACATAAGTAGTGCAGATGGATCCGCCCTTGCGGTCATATAGGAATATTTGCGTCCAATTGCGCGACGAGCTGAGCCCAGTAATCTAACCCTCGAGCGTCACCTCACTTTTTGCCTTTTCCCTTGCGTTGCTTTGCTTTACTCGGCGAAGCGGGTGCTGCAGCCGCGGGCGCAGGGGCAGGGGCAGCAGCAGTACTGGCAGCGACAGCAGCTGTGGGCTTCGGTTGACCGGCGGCGGTCCGCTGCGGAGGAGGCTGCGCCTTGCGCCCTCCAAAGCCGTGGAAAAGGTTGATGGCAAATGACGCGACACTCCCGGATACGAGCATGAGGATCCAGCGCGGGACGCGCACGATAAGGAGGTACATCTTCGTCATGTAGATCGCGAAGTATTCGAGGATGAATTCGCTAAACACAATGAGCACCGGGTACATATGGATAAGGAGGGAAGGACGTACCGGCTGCCGCCTGGGGCGAAGGCACCGGACCATGGCGGGGTGGCGATATAGGCCTCGCGCTTGACGAATTCGCGGAGGGCGCCGTGGGCGACGCGCAGCTGGTTCGGGCGGTAGAATCGCAGTGTCTGGCCGCGGTCCTTGAGAATTACGATCGACGGAGCGCTTCGGGATGAGTTAGGAAGACTTGTATACGAATACAGAAGAAGAAACACGCACGTCCAGAGACTCCATTTCGTGGTTACATATGTAACGTTAAGGTAGTCGATGCGCGCCCAGCGGACGTGCGGGAGGTCATCAGCGATAACCGTCTCATTGAATGACTCGTCAAACGCCTGGTCGATAAATTTCGAGATGCCCTCCTGGCGCGAGCTGGTCGATGAACTGCATGCGTTGTCAGAGAATGAGCCGGCAGATAAGGACTTGGTGCATACACGACAATAACCCAGACGCGCTTCTCCTCTTCCTCCTCGGTCAAGGTCTCATTCACCACCAGGTCGGCATAATTGTTGTCCGTGATAAGAGGAATACGTGGGTCCCAGGGACTAAGCGCCGCCGCCTCGAGCCGTTCCGTTATATTTATGCCAGCTTTTTCGAGCAGTCCCTTCACGGGCCCAGAAGCAAGGACTTTGTTGATATCGAGCAGACTGGAGAGCGAAAAAGCCTCCGTAGATTCTGCTTTTTGCCGCGGCGGTATACCGGCGGCGGCACTGGGTGCTGAAGGCTCAGCAGTGACGGCCTGTCCTGGAACCCACCCAGCTGAGAAGTATTGCGCATTCGCCGTCGCGGCCAGAGCAAGCACGGCGAGAAACTTCATGGTGGTTCAAGTTGAGGCTAAGGAACGGAACACGCAACAGGCACACACCGGGCGGCCGATAGCAGTGACATTCGGGTGATTGGGTGATCGGGATCACTGCAAATGTTGTCCTCAACCGTTTACATGCCTGGATTAAACCCCGCTGGATCCCCTTCTGCTGATATGCTACTCATTCAGCATCTTTAGTTGGTGTATTATCGCTGCTGGGGCTCGTCAACATCCACTTCTGTCGGTTTTGTTAGCGTTGTTGGGATGTCATTGCCACTGCGGATGATGGCGTAATTCCACCGCATTGAATCTGTTCTTGCTGGTGCCCTGGAGTCCTGGACCCTGTTTCAAATGCCCAAGTCTCTGTGTCTGCGCCGTCAAAGCTCGCCGGTCTCTCTTCTATTTTTTTTCTGCGTCCACGGCCGTACTGGCACGCATCGGAATACTGCATGATGATCCACAATCTGCTGCTATCGGAATCCCTTTCAAATTCCTGGACCCTCGGGTTTCCAATATATTTGCTCCCCGGAAATAACCTCTACCTTGTCCGCGGGCTATGATAATTGGTGATCTAAAGCACTAAGCCGGAGCTGATCATGATTGGGCCTGACATGCCTGACAGTGATTGGGCTTTGCTTTGCTACCTCCCTTCTCCCTTCCTGGTCCTGAATTAACTCTGAGGTATGCCCACTCCAAATTCAAGAACTGGAAAGCTGGAGCTGCACGATCTCGTTGAAGACGTTCTTCTCCTCATTCTCGCCGAGTGCGATATCCTGGATGTCCTTGCGATCGGTGCCGTCAGTTCACGCTTCGACGCAGCGCGCCTTGTTTCTTACTTACCCAGGCCAGCAAATATCTACACCGGCTGGCGGGCTCCCACGACGTCTGGGTCTTGCTGGTGACAAACTTGGCAAAGCGCGGTTTCATCGACCGTCCACCAGACGACCTCAAGGACATGAACACGGAACAGCTTATCGGTCTAGTGAAAAGACTGTTACGAGGACCGCAAACCTGGGCGGCTGATCCTACCAAAAGTCTTGTTAAGCGGAGCGTGACTACGCTCGGCAAGTTGGT